TTGCCGGCTGGGCTTAAACCACGACAAGCATAATCTGTGGTGTCTATAGAAGAAGACCAAAGGCAGTAAGTAAGCCTGCAGACACTACTTTAAGGAGAATCTGGCCCAAAAAGTCCAACTTACTGATGGCAACGAACAGACTTCTTGCTTCCAATACCAGGTAGAACATTCAGCTCTGGTATTTACATGAACAAGACAAGGGGTGTAGTTTTGGGTTTGGGTTTTTTTGTTGTTGTTTCCTCAAGCATGAACACATTGATACTAAAAATATTTAACGTTAAACCACAAGACAAACACCCCTACTTACATTGTCTTTTGATTGTTCAGATTGGAGAAGCAATACCTAAGTACCAGAACATCACAGCTAGAAACAAATGCTTTGCATTAGTTATCCAATTGCACACAAGCATCCATGCATGAGTTCCTATTTCAGTATTTCAAGGTTACCTGATTTTCATAACTATGTATTTCAAGCTAGAATTTTGGCACACGAATGCACATGAGCAGTTGCCCGTGTGTTCTGTAAGTCAGGACAGTATGAAATCAAGATTTCACTGTAAGAGCTGGCATTTGAATTTTCACGTATGATCATGCTTTAGGCTGATATAACACTTCCGAAATTTTTCAGCCCACTACGTTATTGGTCTGTAAACAGATTTCCCTTTTTATATACTGAAGTATCAGGTGAAAGTTACTACTCAAAGTGCATTTGCAAACCTGAAGGTGTCAAAAGTTCTTCTGACTTGCAAATTTGTACCAGGAATGACTACTGCTACCACATATATTATAAGAAAGTGTGAACAAAAAGAACAACTATAAACATTTTCTACTCAAAAGCACAAACATGCACTGGGAAAAAATGCAAGCGTTTCCTGCATTGAACTTTCTGATGCAGAAGCTTTAGAACAACAACTTAAGTACCAAATAGAAACTCATTTCAAAACTGTCATACCTTTAGAAGTTCAGGTTCCCATGAATCCAGTGTTAAAGATCTTACTTTTGAGAAGTGGACTCCCAAGCTCCTAAACAGCATAAGAAAAATACTAACCTGTAACTACATGCTATATCTTACCTCAGACAGATTTACCATTAATTCATGCAAAGAAAGCAGTTACCTTAATTCTGTTTACAAACAGGGGTCTCTAACCTTGCTTCAATATACATTTGAAGGGGAAAACACCACCCCTTCCTAATTATATCAATGCATAAATAAAATACAGTTCTGAAGTGTTCCCCAACCTGTGTATCCCAGAGCACTCAATGCACAGGGTGATTCCTAAGTTGATACTGGCCCAGCGAGGATCTGCCAAACCACAATCACAGCAGGCAGCATTACCAGGAATACACTGAACTCGCTGCAGAGCACTTTCTCCCTTTAACAACTTCTCTTTTGTCTCACTCCCAGATTCTAGGCTTCCAGCAGAAGGGGATGATTTCTTTTCCTGTTTCTAAAAAGGAAACACACACTAAATTAAAGAAATAAAAGTTCTACAGATAGTGACTGTGCACTAGAATCTTAGAAAAGTAACTTCTGCATTTAAGGCCAAGAGAGCCATACAACTGAAAAAACATTTATTTTCTTAGAAGAAATACAGAACTGAATATAAGAGTATCCAATGAATTTTAATCACACTACAGAAAAATCTCATCAAAACATATAGGCCAAAGTAACATTAGTAAGATGGAGTGAAAGATAAATTAGATATAAATCACAGCCTTCAAAGTTTCACTGCATTTCCACTGGAAGACAAAGAGTGGATTCTTTCTGTGCCTCTCCATTCGTCAAAAGATGTCTTCTCTATTTTTAATTTCCAGGATCTAGAGGGATGGTTATTGTTCGGTTGTTTTTTAAACTTACCTCAGATTCATCCCCTTTCTCTCTATATGCTGTAGCAATACTGGTCTGAACAGCTTTAATCCATGCCTGCCGCAGCTTTTCTGAGTCAGCCTGAAGCATGCAGCTTCTGTGAAAAATCACATGTACTCAGATTCAGAGACTGACCAAGCAGCTAACATCAAACAACACATTGTTCAATGAAATACAGAGAAAGTTTCTTCCATCACAAGTACATTTTTTAGTAGGCATCATCTAATACACCTCTTTATTTTGAAATAACAAAGCAGCTAACTTTTTATAGATTACAAACTCCTTTTATCAAAACTATTTTCAGGCAATGCTAAAACATAGATATGACTTTTCAAATAACACAGAGAATGGCTTAGCTTCCTATTCCGTTTCTTATTCAATTTTTTTCATTTTTATATACTCACATGCATTTTACCTCCATGACTCATTATACAAGACACAGGTATCAATCCTTGAAAACACAGTTTAATTCACTGAGATCAAGAAAAAGTTATTTTAAATTCTCTGACAATGAACTACTTTTCACACCAACAGTCAAAGGAAACAGGTCATCAAGTACAAAACTGTGCCAACACTTATGGGTTGAAAAAGTATAGGCAAGCAGGAACAAAATGCACATTAAAGGATGCAAATATTAGGACAGCAATCTATTTAGAAGAAAAATGTTAAGTAGGAGTGGGGAGTGTAGATAACATCCAGACCTAAAAGCAGATTGACCTTATATCAAGAATGTAAATACGGTCACATCTCAAAATCATTAATGAGAAATCCACATCCTGCCCTTGCCGTACATGCAGCAGGACTGCTGTACTTCTCTAAATACAACTGATACACTGCATTGCTAAAGCTAAAATATATTTTTGTTTGGTAGTTTCATTTAGTGCATTCTGAAATGTAATCTAACGCTATTGAGACAATAACTTATTAATATGCTTCCCTCATTACACCAATCAAATCTGGAGAAACTGGTATCTGCTTTTACGTTACTGAGCAGCTTAATAGTATCAGCAACTACTAAGCCACAGCAGCTCCACATCCAGAAGCCATTTCTGCATAAAGCACAAGAATGCATGTTTATTTTAATGCCAAAAGTAAACTAAACACTAGGAACACTTCTCACAGCATCACTTGCTGTCAGCCAGAATTTCAGAGAACAGAATTGTTCAGATACTTTTCCTGTTTCGATCTGTCCCAAGAGAAATGTTAATCTTGCATTTCAAGACAACTGAATGTAACTTTTTTTTTTATTTTTAAATAAACATGCTCCATCTTTTCTCCTTACTTTGTTGGAGAAACCACCTCAAAACAGAAACGTCTTTCTATGTCTTCACAGTGCTTAACTGTGCAAAGCCGCAAGTCTTCAACAACTACTGTGGGATTATCCTAAGAGACAAAAATTAACAAAAAAGTCAAAGAGGAAAGCTAAAGTTGCTAATAATCCTGTATTATCTCTCATTTAATTCTTGTTTACACAATTTCTTCCTCCAAAATAAAATTTTAATTAGGTGAAATCAGAGATACTTAGTAGGAAATATTTAGATACATTTTAATGCTTAGTTATATTTAATGAAATTTTACTACAAACTTTGTAAATTCCTTTTTGTCTGCAATCCACTCCACTAAATAATCAACACCTATATTTGAACAACAGTATTCAGAAGAGCTCAAAGATACTTTCTAAGAGATACAATTAACTCACAAATCACAAATGTTATATCTAAATCAGCATTATTTTAAGTGAAAAGTACAAAATCCAGAAGCCGGATGCAGTGGTTTTGAAAATTTAATTCAATTCATAAAAATCCTGTTCTAATCTAACAGCATTTCAAAGGTGCATTAAAAAAAGTAACTGGAATTCACGAATGCAGAATGTCCAACTCAAATGTGCTCACACAAACTCAACTGTTTCCAACTACGAAAATTAAGATCTTTGATTTGCTACCACCACGTAACAAGGGACAGCCTCTGAACCTAATCTGGTAACACTGAAGAGAAATGAATTGTCATAAGCTCTTCCTTTCCCCAACGACCATAGAGTTCTCTACTTTTTTCCAATATGGAGAACAGTTACAGCTATGTGGTGCAAAAGCAGACTTAGAACAGTGAACAAAGGAGTACAGGCCCAAATGTTAATTGAAAAGGTTGGCTTTACAGTTTGGGGCAGAGCTGCGCTTGCTGCTGTAATATATAGCTGCACTTTCCCACCAGCAAA